AAGGGGAGAGGTGAGATGAGAACCGGCTGAGTCCTGCAGGGTTGAATGCCACAAGAAAAATAAACCACTTTGGAAACCCCTGAATAATTCCCACTAGAGCAAAAATGCAGGCCAGCACCTCTGGGGGACAGCCCTGGAGGGCACAGCTCTTGGCCAGCAGAGGCCCAAGCTTTCAAGTCCCCGGTGCAGCATCCGGCAGCTTTGCCCACTGCCTGCAGCCACGTTAGTCAGGGCTGGACGTCACCAACAAACCGTTAAGGCCCATCAGAGTTTTTTCTGCTGGAGCACAGGGTTTTGTTCCCACCCCGAGCCATGCCCAGCTGGCTCTCTGCACTATATACCCCCGTTTCAGGCTCTGGGTGATGTGGAGCCTCTGCTGTAAGCAGCCCCCTTGCTTCTCAAAGGCAACAGAAAGGTCCCAGGCATTAACCAGCATGGATCGTACTTCACCTGGGAGCCTGCTGGATCCATCAGATGTTGCTTCTGAGATTGGGATGTGTGGCTATCCGTCTTCCTCTTTCCTGCTGCCGTGCTTGCCCGGCCTCGGGAGCTGACAGACTGCAGGCTGACTTTGTCCCCAGAGCTGGACAGGCTCCCGTCCGGGCTGTGCTTGGCCTCTGTGCTGAACTGCAGGTTGAGGGACACCTCTGTGTTTTGACCTACGGAGGACAGAGACAGCTCAGTGGGGCCAGCAACAGGCGCTGTGGGGAGCAAGTGGGCCCTTCTAGCCCACCGGGCACAGCCCTGCGCCCTGGCAGGGACACAGCACTCATCCCCCTGCCTGCTGGGCAGAAGTTGCTCTCCAGAAGCAGCAGCAGCACCGTTCTCCAGAAGCTGCTCCTTCCCTGCTTCTCTTAGTAGCATGATAAAGTGCACCATCAGATTCTGGATGTTAAAGCCAGAGAGTTTTTAATGTCCAGCCCTGTGTCCCTCCTAACGAGTGCGCACGCAGGTCACACTGCACGGTAGCTCCCCTATGGATCAAGCCAAGGATTCATCCTCCAGGACCACTGTTTCCATACCTTGCACCCATCCTCCATTCTCCCATGGGGACTGTAATGCGCAGCCCTGCCCCAGCTGCATCCCCCATCTCCACAGGAGCTAATCCCTCTGTGGGGGATAACCCCACTGGGGACGCCAGCCCCCTTTTCCCTCCGCCAGCTCCCAACCCAACCAGGTTCAAAGCTGAGCGAGAAAAGAGCTCAGCTGCAGCGTGTCTCTCATCAGAAACTCCCCTGGGAGGTTATTCTTCCCTTCCTCTCATGTTTGTGAAGCCACACTCAAAGTCACTCGCCTAGTGCTTAATGAGCCACTTTAACAAGGAAAAAGCCCTCTGAAGTGGGCAGCGCTTCTGCCTGGCTGGATTCAGCTTTGAGGAAATATAAAATAAACTTAGATACAGGCATGCTTCACTGCTCCTAGGAAAAGGAAAATGTGCCGAGAAGCCCTGGGGCCGTAAAAGTGGCCCTGTCTGAGCCCTTAAAATAAAGATTTTTTACTTTTTTAATAACCAGAGATGCTTTATGAAATGGCTTTGCATTTCTACATGCCTCGCCCACGTTCCCCAAGACACCCAAGGGCTGTCAGACTTCTCTTGACCAAGCATTAGTGGACGGTTGTGGTGGGTTTCTGAAGCGCTGCTCTGGGTTCAGTGTTTCTCCTTACCAGCTTCCTCTGTCTCCCTGCGGCTCTGCTCAATGGCAGCCCTGATGCACAGCTCCCGGGCGCGCAGCCCTGCCGAGCTGCTCCTGTCCGAGATGGCTTCCGTCACCACGGCGTCGATGGACAAGCAGGCAGCACCATAGTATTTGGACAGGGCAACCGCTGCCGACGTCTTGCCTTGAGAGAGAGGAAGACTGCCTGGTGACACTCGTGCATGAGGCATTTCCAGGGACAGGCTCTGGAAAGCCCCCAGAATGGGATTTCAAAGTTTCAAGGACAGGCAGAAAGCAAAGCGCCGCTGTAGGGGAAACCACGAGGGAGGCAGCTTGAGCGTGGTTGGAAGTGCTGTTCTCTAGAGCCAGGTGGATCATCTCCACCTTGGTTTCAGCTGAGGACTTTGTCCCCTGTGACAAAGGGCTTCGAGCCCTGTCCCACCAACATTCAGACCATTTGCTAGCCTGTATTGGTCAGCGATTGTCTCGGGCAATGTCTGGGCACGGTTTGGGGTCAATACAGGCTAGGGACAGCTCCCATGAGGCAGTATGGTCCCATCAAGCAACAGGGACATGGCTACTCTGTTGGGAGAATGAGAGCCTAGCTGTATGGACACAAGGCAAGCCATACTGCTGGCACCGGCTAGGTGAAGGCCTGGGACTGTTTCGTGTGCCAGCGGAGCTGTGGCTTACCTTGCCTCACTTCAACGGATCAACCAAGCACCATGGCCTCTCCTGCTTTCCCTGCTTCCTTGAGGCCAAGGGCTGTGGCTCATGTACCTGTCAGGGGCGCCCCATGGATGATGATGATGATCCCTCTGCGGTTTTGGGCTGCGCGTCCTTCTGTGGAGATATCGATGCCAAGGTGGCGGGCGATGGCCCTATAGACAGGGCTGTCCTCCAGTTCTCCCGCAGCCTCCTTGCTGCTGGTGGTGCTTTGCCGATGCTCTGCTGTGCAGAACCGGGTATAAAAGTCAGGGTCCTGCCTACCTGTGATCCTGATCACGCTCCCCCACCCCCTCAGGTCCTGGGAGAGGAGACTCTGCTGAAACCAACGTCGTGCCTGGGGTCTTCCCATGCCCCTTCCTTTAGGCTTGTGCAGATCAGGATCTGCGCTAGATGCTGGTAAAGGTTCCTGTTCAGATTATAGCAAATTGGGTGGCAGAAAGAGGAAAGAACAAGCATCCAGCAATACCTAAAAGGACTGGGCCAAGCCTCCTTCCATGAACTGTCAACATGGTCCTCATGGGAGCTTGGTCCTGGGTTCTGCTGAGTAAGTTGGGGACCTACAGAACTGGGCATTTTACACAGTCCCAAGGGAGAGGCTCCATTTGGGGACGAAGTGATTATCCCAAAGCCGATGCTTTAGGAATATTGCACCAGGAGATTTAGCTGGGCTCTGAATTCACCATAAGAGCATTTACAAAGAGCCCTTAGGAGGTCACTGAGAGACATCTTGGTTTGCAATGTCCCATAGGAGAGAGCACACTGCCCTGCCTAGGAACAGGGACACCACCGTCCTGATCCTGATCCCAGCAGCTCCTGGGAGCAAAGGTGCTCATTTGGCAAAGTGGGGGAAAACGTCCCTGGCCTCTCCCTTCTAGCTGCCCTGGACTCTTCTTGGCATCCTACAGACTTTGTATGCAAAAGTGGAGTCAGGGCCTACAGGAAGATGGCACCAGGCTGTAGTGAAGTGATGGAGATGACACTGAAGTCCTCCACTGAGGCCCTTTTGCCACAACAGACATGAAATAGGTGAAGAGCTTAAGGTTATTACCTGTACCACGTCTTTTCTCAGCACCTTCCTCCTCCTCTTCTCCACATTCTGATTTAGAGTCCACCTTGTTGGACTGGCTTTCATCAAAAACAGAGGAGGGAACGATGGAGCTATGGGATGAGATGGTATGAACAATCCCAGCAGAGAGCTTTCCTCCTTGATCTGACAGAAACTGGACATCTTCAGCATTTGCTGAGGAGAAAGGACATGGGGAGGGAAGAAGAGAGTGAACATGAAAAAAGGCGGAAAATTTCCCACGGATGGAAACTCCCATGGCTCTGAGAAGCCTCTCCAGGCTGTCTCTGCCCTTAGGGGAATCTTGAGCTTGTGCTTTTGTTGCTGGGAAGGAGCAAATATAAAATAGCTAGTGATATTAGACCTGGTTCTACTGGCTGAACCAGTCCTACTTTTTGTGGTTGAGGGACACAAGGGGATAGCCTGATTATCTCCCGGTCCATGGTAGGCAGATAAGAACTTTGGCTGCGCTCAGGGCTAGTAGAGGATGACTTTCACCCTGGAATTCCTCCACCAAACTGTAGAATGGGTGGCTGCAAAAAGCACGGGCTTTCCATGGAGAACATCATGGCGAGCTCAGGGTAGGTGGGCTGGGCTCCCTGCTGTGTCCACACCCAGAACAGCCAACGCCAAACCCTCACCGTTGTCCTGGCCTGCTGGTTCCCCAGTCTTGGACTTCGCCTGCTCATCCTGCAGCCTTATCTGATCCTGATAGTACTCCAGCACCTCTGGGGGCAGCTTCTCACCCGGGGTGCGCAGAGGCAGCAATAAGGTGTTGTGGCAATCGTAGTCCTTCAGCATCCGCAGGATCTGTGCATGCAGGGAAGAGAAGCCACATACAGGATGTGTTTCTTGACCTCTATCAATGAACAGACTCCCCAACCAACCTATCTTCCCCCTCATTTCTTCCTCCCAACAACACGGACTATCCAAGCCCTTCCACAGCCCACTAGCAGAGCTGGCTAACCCCAAAATGCCACCAGGCTTTGCCCTGGGGACTGCCTCCATCTCCCTGGCACAAGCCTGGGAATGCTGGAGTGCTGTGAAGCTACAGGAGCATGCACGTGTGGACCAGACCTTTCCTCTCACCTGCTCCTCAGCAAGGTACTGCTGGTCAAACTCCAGTGAGTAAAACTCGATGGGGAACTCGCATGGGTTCTTCACCACCACTGTCCCCTCCGCCCCATGGCTGTATGGCAGCAATGGTCCCAACTCAAGCACTGGGGGGCTGAACTCCAGCTGCGGCTCCAGCCCATGCCCCCAGACCTGCAGCTGGAGGTGCTGGCTGCTCTGGCAAATGTTTATCTTCAGCTCGCTCCTGTAAGACTTCTGAAAAGAGAGAAGTGCAGAAAGCTCCTTTGTGAGGTCCCAGATGACAGGGCCTCAAATTCAACCCTTGCCCCAAGGTCAGGGATGTTACCAGTGCCTCTAAGGTGAACGGAGAACAGATATTAACTTAGAGCAGGGGGCTACAGCCCCTGCATGCTGGCTCCAAGTAACCGGGATGAACCCTAGCGTGAAGGGTAACTGGACATTTGGGTATCAGATGCACCTAAAATGGACAATCAGATGTTTTCACCTAGTCATGAGGGAGTGCAATGCTCATAAGAAAGGTCCTTATGGGTGGACTCTGCTCCCACGGGACTCAGGGGCTGTTTCACCTCCTTCTTCAGGGTTACACAAATGGTCTGAAGTTGCATCAAGGAAGGCTTAGGTTGGACATTAGGAAAAATTTTTTCAATGAAAGGGTTGTCAAGCCCTGGAAGGGGCTGCCCAGGGAAGGGGTCGAGTCCCCATCCCTGGGGGGATTTAAAAGCCGGGCAGCAGAGGTGCTTCGGGCCAGGGTTTAGTGGTGGGCTGGCAGGGTTAGGGGAATGCTTGGGCTTGGTGATCTTAAAGGGCTTTTCCCACCTAAACAATTCTGTGATTCTATGTTGCAGTCCTGGCACTGCTGCACCAGGCAAACACCAGCTACATGGAAGAGGCAGATGAGGCCTCCCTGGCTAGAAATAAGGGTTTTCCTCTCTGCTCGGTGCTTGACTCTGGTCAAAGCCAAGCACCAAGATGGTTGCATCCCCACTAGCAATTAAAACATCCCTGGGACCATTCCTAGGCAAGGAAGCACTTGTGTCCATACTGTTACATGCTGCCGGTTTCCAAGTCACAGTGGCCGCATGCAAACGGCTTTTGGGAACGTTCCGTCATTTGTGCTGACTCCCAGACTGCCTGGGACCGTGCAAGGAAGCTGGGCCAGAGCCCCAGGGACCACTGGCAGCACCAGTACAGGAGGCTGTCATGCCATGCCCAGGAAGGTGTCTGGTGGCTGTTGTGTCTGCTGGTACCCGCAGCAGGATTAGCCTGGATTGGCCCTTCCAGGGTTATCCCCTGACAGCGTGTCAGCTGCTCTGCGCAAGGGTGCTGCAGCCTGCAAATACGCCCAACGCGAGGGGGAAGATGCGGGGCAACAGGCAGATTTCCCCCCCCGCATCAAGAGGGAGCCACGCCACAGTGCCCTGATGCTCTCTGTGCAAGCTCCCCATCGGGATTTCAAAGCACCCCTTGAAAGAGGGTGCTGCGGGGGCAGCTGAGGCACGGTGGGTATGGGGCTTGTGGAAAGCTCCATGTGGAGGCACACCTCATGTCCTGCTCCCCACGCTGGGGTCTCATTACCCACTGCCCTGCCAGACCTCCTGGGGCTTACACCTGCCCATCTCACCTCTTCCATGGGTAAAAATCTGACTCGCACGTTGCATCGCTGTCCTGGAGCGAGGGCTCCAGCCAAGGGCAGCACCTTGAAGACACAGAACTTGGCCTTCAACTCCTGGAGGAGCTTCCGACGCATGCTCGCTGGCAAATGTTTGTCCACCTGAGCACAGAAACCAATCATGTGAGGTATCCTTGGTTGGTGAGGACAGACCCTCAGTTGCCACAGTGCTCTGAGACACCATCATGGCACTGAGAGCACCCACATCCAAACCAGCCGCAGCCACCACTGGCCTAGAACTGGAAGGAAGGCATATTTAGGCAGGGCAGGCAAATGGGGAGGCACTGTCCTCGGAGGAGGAGGAATCAGTAAAGATGGCAGAGAAGCGAAGCATCAGCAAGTGAACAGGTTCAGGTGAACCAGCCTTGCTCTGTACCCTCAAAAGCTTCCTCACACAAGCTGTAGCCCAAGTGCTCAAGCAGCCGTAGGGACAGAAAAGGCAAGAGAGGCAAAGAAAACCCAACCAAGAAGTTCCAGGTTACACGTTGTTTGTCCTTTACCTTCTTAACCGGCTCATTCATGGTGATAAACCATTTACAGGGGACCGGGAGCTCATTGTGGAGCTGGACAGTTTCCTCCTGGCACTGCCCACACTGGACGGCGGTGAATTCCAGTCTGTCCCTGGAGAGGCTGAGGGACGGCACAGTCACGTTGGCACAGAGGCGGACGTGAAACGTGGGACCTCCTGCTACCTAGTGAAGGACAGAGCATCCAGCTGAGAGCCCAAGTAACATCTGCTGCTGTCCCTGACCTGCTGCCTGCCCCAAAAGGTGGTGTGGGCACAGGGAGGTGAGGGACGTTGCGGCACCTTGATGGGCAGAAGCACATCCACCTCTCCCACCGGCAGGTTGGCACTCTGGGGGTCGAAGCGCACTTCGAACGTCTCTGTCTCGCAGTAGGGCAGGTGCTTCACGCGGTCCAGCTCCACGCTAAAACCTTGAACAGATGAAAATAAAGCAGCTGAAACACTCAAGCAACATGAAATATGTCACAAGCACGTTAAGGCCATATGGATGCCCTGGCTGGCAGCTCTCTGAAGGACCCCTTTGCATCTCCGTAGAAGCCTGATGCTCTTTTTCCCTTGTTGCCGCACAAAGAAAGGGTTTTCACAGCCAGAATCCAAGACGCACGTGGTAAAAAGGAAATGTATCATTTGAGGAGCTCCAGTAATTCCTTCATCAGGCATCCCAGGGAAGGATCCACAAACCTCTCCAAAGGAGAATTTCATAGAATCATAGAATCGTTTAGCTTGGCAAAGCCCTTTAAGCTTACCAAGCCGAACCGTTACCCTAACCCTGCCATCCCACCACTAAACCCTGGCCCTAAGCACCTCGTCTGACCAGCTTTTAAATCCCTCCAGAGATGGGGACTTGACCCCTTCCTTGGGCAGCCCCTTCCAGTGTTTGACAACCCTTTCCAACTATGATTCCCCCATACCATGGCATTTCCTGGAAAATAACTCAGAGGAGACACCTGACCGCTCCTCAGACACAGCAAGTGGCCGTTCGATGGCACTGCAGCCTTACCTCAAGGCCTGTTTTGGAAGCCTGTTTCAATACATCCAAGGACCTCACAGGCCTTTTCTCTAATAAAGGATGAACAGAAGTGTTCAGACACTATGAACACTGAACAAAACGCTTCTGAACCACATGTCTATGCAACACAAGCCCACAGAGTGCACAAAGAAACTGATAATGCCTGTGGTAGCCAAGAGCAGAAGATGCTGAGAGGTGACCAAGGTGACCAGCTCACCCAGCCCCTGTAATGAAGTGGTAGGGCACTCACAGGCAGGCCAGGTCTCTGGGCACTGCTGACCAGGAGAACTCAGGCTCTAAAGCACCAAGCAAGGGGTACTAAGGAGGAAAAAGCTATACAAGCACTCAGAGAACCTCCCCGTGTCCAGTGGCTTAAGCTAATCTGTCAGAGACAGCTCCTCCTTCAAGCCCACAGGAAGCCTCTCCAGCGCTGGTTACCTGTGTCACACAGGACCCGTCCATCGGCGTGGAAGGACACAGGGAACTGCCCGGTGTTGGTGATCTTCACAATGTGTGTGTGGATGTTACCGAGAATGACGTAGCCAAAGTCCAGGACATACTCAGGCAGCTCAGCTCTGAAAGGAGTAGTAAGGGGAGCCCTTAAACCACGTTTCCAAGGGGATGGAAGATGCAAATGAAGGGGATATTTCTGTATTCGCTGCTATAAAAACTCAACTCTAGCCAGTGAAACTCAAGGCCTGACTGCCTACCTGGTAATAAGACTTCAGTAAGTCACAGGGAGTGTAGGTCCTAGGTTTTCTTAGCTACCAGTGGGACCTTAACATAAAATTATCTGGTTGCAGAGCATTGCAAACTCTGTCCCCAAAGGAGCACTGGTAATGCAGTAAACACCCACAAGATTCATGGGTAGGTCCTTTTCCAGAGCAATCCCACTCAGGATCTGTTTTGCAGAGCACCTTCTTCCTGAACTGGAGAGCCTACACAGTGCCCATGCCTCATCATGAAGGAGCAAAAGGAAGGACCAGGTGATCTAGGCAAGCCCTGCAGCCCCACCAGCATCCCAGCTGGCTGATTTAGGGTTTATCAAGCTAATAACTATGCAACTCCCTGCTCTTTTTGCTTAGTGTGATCTGTTTGTTGGAAAAAGGACACCAGCTTTGATTTGCCTCTTTCAGAGCTGGTCAGCACGGATGGTGTCTGTGCTGCCTCGGATGGGCTTGATGGTCTGCACTGGACCCCCTCAGCTCTAAGAGCAGAATCCACCATCTGTGGGGAGTTGAGCACCTTCAAAACTCAGGGCAGCACTGTGGACGTGAGGACACTCAGCTGCTCACAGGGAATACGTCAAAGCTATAAGGATCAGACCCTTTCAGAAGTCCCTGGCTATTCCCAGCTCTGCAGACACAAGCAGCTCCCAGGAGCCGGGGTGTGCTGCTGGGTGTTACCCTTGGGGTGCCTGGAGGTAGGGTACAGGAATCCCCACTAACTTGAGAAGCCTGTGACGAGCACGCTGGTCAAAGGCAGTGTCCTCTGGGGGACTGGAAGCAAGAGCTTTCTGCTGCTCCAGGGCGTGTTCCTCTACCAGCATCTGCTCCATCAGCATCTGCAGCCGGGTGTCAAACTGAGGAAAGCAAAGATGGTGACTGGTTAGCAAATGTCCTTCCCAAGGGCCAGGCTTGTCTCTGAAAGAGGATCCCACCCTGCTCTTGTTGAGAGGTGATGGGGTCCTCCCATCTCGCTGCTCCATGGCTGTGACAGCTCCTGCTCTCTCAGCCAGGACTTCAGCTGAAGGGAAATGAACACCAGCATTTTCATCTGCCCAGTCACTGTTAGAAAAGCTGATCTAGCCAGACAAACAGACAGACAAGCCAGGAACTTGCCAGTGCTCCAAGTATCTGCCTGGCCCCAGCCACTGCCAAAGCAGCTCAGACAAGAGCTCTCTCCAAAAGGGAACCACAATAAAGCTGGTGCCTCTGAATATGAGCCAGCAGTGTGCCCAGGTGGCAAGAGGGCCAGCAGCATCCTGGCTTGTATCAGGCCTGGTGTGGCCAGCAGGAGCAGGGCAGTGACCGTGCCCCTGTGCTGGGCACTGGTGAGGCTGCCCCTGGAATGCTGGGTTCAGGGTTGGGCCCCTGATTCCCAGAAGGACCTGGAGGGGCTGGAGCGTGTCCAGAGAAGGGCAAGGAAGGTGGGGAGGGGTGTGGAGCCCCAGGCTGCTGGGGAGCGTTTGGGGAATCTGTGGGTGTTGAGCCTGGAGAAGAGAAGGCTGAGGGGAGACCTTATCGCTGCCTACAACTGCCTGAGAGGAGGGGGCATCTGGGGTGGATCAGGCTCTGCTCCCAGGGAATGGGCGATGGGATGAGGGGAAATGGCCTCAAGTTGTGCCAGGGCAGGTTTAGGTTGGACATGGGGAAAAATTCCTTCCCCGCAAGGGCTGTCAGGCCCTGGAAGGGGCTGCCCATGGAAGGGGTCGAGTCCCCATCCCTGGGGGGATTTAAAAGCCGGGCAGACGCGGTGCTTCGGGCCAGGGTTTAGTTGTGGGATGGCAGGGTTAGGGTAAACGGTTGGGCTTTTCCAACCTCAACGATTCTATGATTCTTTTGGAGATGACAGCACGGTCCCAAGGCGCAGGCAGGCTGCTGCTATTAAGCTCTGTAAACCTGGTAGGGCTTGGGTTGTGAGCAACAAACACCCCAGCAGTGACCTGCACCTCCATCAAAGCACCATAAATCCAATCACTGCAGGATCTCTCCACGGGGTAGTCAGGAAGCTGGTGCATCTATGGGGGGGGACACAACTATCAGCGGTGGGCAGCCCCTGGGGCAATGCTGAATTGATGCATGATCGTGGCCAGGTGCGGGCAGGGAGGTCCCAAGTGCCACCAGGACACCGGGAAGCCTCTTGCAGGGTGCAAGGGGCCCAAGTGACGCAGTGGGAGTGTGGCACGTGCGAAACAGGACAGCAGCCGTTCTCACCAGGGTGCCCAAGTCATCCGTGGGCGGCTCCATGGCCACAGCCTCCCCCAAAACAACGGCTTCATCTCTCTGGCTGTCTTTTTCCATCTTTTCTTTCGCCTCTTTGAGGATCTTCTCATATTTTTCATTTCCTGAAGAAAGACGAGATCCACAAATGGAAGCATGGGAGCAGTGCCAATCCCATTCAAGCTGGGAAACCCCACTCCCCCCATGCTGGCCTCTCCCAGAAACACACTCCTCCAGCAATGTATGGAAACGTGGATGCTGCTTTTCCCTCTGTGAATCCTGGTGTTCACTCCCACCCAATGCAATGCAAATCCAACCCTGCCAAAATCCCTGCCAGCCTCCTTTAGAGCCTTCCCAAGCATTTCTGTCCAGCCATCATCTTTCCAGGCCACCCACAGATTCACTGGCGAGGTCTTTAGGATGGTTCCCAGGGCAAAGCCCACACAGGCTTCTGAAGACTCAGGAAACAACCGGAGGGTTGAGTGTTGGTCTGACAGCCCTGAAGCCTCCAGGCTTGGTGGAGGTGAGTGTAAGCTGCCGTATGGGCAGATGACATGGGCGAAAAAGAAGGGGACCTTCCTGGGGAGCAGGCAGGCAGTGCTCACCTTTGATGTTCCTGGGCAGGTCCAAGTAGATCCTGGGAAAGCTCCCCTCTCCTTTCAGGGAGATTTCTTCTGGTTCCAGGTGACCCACTTGGATCTGGAAAGTCCTGCAGAAGACTCCAGGCACTCCTGGCAGGTAATAGACCTTCAGCACTTGCTCCTTGCCAGGTCCAAGGTAACCCTGCACAGCACAGGAGAAGAGGGAGGGAATGCAACCAAAGAGGGTTTGCTGGAGGGATGGCTCAGACAACAGACCCGCTGAGAAGAGAAGGCAGGTTCTCAAAGATCAGAAAGATCAGACAGCATGGCTTTCTAGATTGCTTGTATCCAAAAGCTGGAGTCTCCTACACCAGCATGCAGTACATCCTTCAGAGGGCTTGTGGGGATGCGAGCACAGCTCTTTTGCTAACAACATTTGCTCTCTACAAGCACAAGCCAGACGGAATAAATGAAAGCTCTTTTTCCAGCCACTATGGAAGATGAGTGAAGCGCCCGCACCCTCAGCAGGGCCAGCAGCTCCCGTCACATCATGTCAGAGCTTCCCAAGCCGGTGTTGAGGGGCCTGACCCCTTATTAGTGACCCCAACCAAACATCTCCTGCCTGCATGGTTACAGCGAGGGTGCACGAACCTACCCAGACGCATGGTGACCTGCAAACACACATCTCTGGAAATGCTGGAGCAGACTAGGACAAGATCCAGGGAAGAAGGTGCTGCCGGGAAGGACACCTCCTCTACGGGCTTCCAGAAGGGCTGTCCAAGCCCCAGGATGGGCTCATGCCAGCCAGATCGAGAGCAAATACAAGCAGAGAACAACACGGCTCTGGTGACAGGACAGAGCCGCAGCTCTCCTCAGCTCATCCTCCGCACACTGGGCTGCACCCTTGGCTCCCCACTCCCCTCCATGCTGCAGGGAGAAGCTGCTGAGTGGGACAGATCTGGCCACTTGGTCCCCTGAGCCCCTAACCCAGTGCACAACACAGCTGCAGCGAAAGCGAGCCTGGCCAAGCTGCCAGCGACGCTGTTACAGCAACAACCGCATGGGTCCAAGGAGAGCTGTGTCTTTGGAAGCTTGCAGGAAGAGGGCATCAGTGTGCTGTCCCTTGTAGGAGGCATGAAAGCCTTCCTCTTCCCATTGCAAAAAGGAATGAAGACAGGAACACTGCTTCAGCTCAAAGACATCCACGCAGGAGAAGCTGGGACGGTGGGATGCTGCAAACTCTTCTCCTTGTTATTCCAGCCCTGCTCCTCCCTGGCCTCCCTCACTGCCCCACAAAGCTGCTGCAGAGCAGAGGGACGGACTAGTGCAGGGGCAGTTACAATTTTGGGCAAAGAAACTTCATGCTCAAGCAAGTCTCATACGTAAGTCTCACCTGGTTAGTGCTGGCAGGGCGCAGGCAGGGTTTTTTATGGGCAGGGACAAGGAGTGAATCCTGTCCGATGACACAACCTGGGTAAGGTGACCCTCGGGAGAGCCTCCACCAGCTGGCTCCAGTGCCAGCACAAGCAGAGAGCTCAGCAGCTGGGGTCTGGAGAGCTAGCGGAGCCCTCGGGCTTCCCACCCGTGGCTGCTAAATGACAGCAAAGCCACCCGCTGGCAAAGGCCATTAAGGGAGTCTATTAGGACAGCACTTGCTTGACCCTCTCTGCCCCCCAGCAGCAGCAATTGCTTACCGACCTGTCCTTCCTGGCTGCTCTCATGGGTTTTTTCTTGTTTGTTTGTTTGGTTTTTTTTCCCCTATAACCCTCTCCTGGGCAGCCTGACGAAGGGCCAGGGTTAATGAATCACTTGTGCTACTTTCATACTCACTGTGCTGGGCATGAGCAGGGGCACGCCGGGCAGAGGGCTGGCAGCAGCGGCCATGCTGGGGCTTAGCACCACATAGGTGAATCCCACCTTCCCGCTGTTCCGCAGGGTGACCTCTGCTTCAGTGACTTCATTAAACAGCTGAAGAGAGAAGTTGAAGAGACAGGCCCGATGCTGGGAATCTCCTGCTTTCATTGGGATGAGAGCAAACAACCACGATGCAGGAGAAAAGAAGGGACAGAGGAGTTTGGGCGCGTGGCTCTCCCAGGTTAACCTGGGGAACCCACAGCCACAGGGCACCTCTTACCCCTACATAGGAACAGATATTTATGGCAGCGTGCAAAGGGGCAATGCCAACCACGAAAAGATCGGTAATGAAGAAACCAAAGAGAATACAAGCCCTCTGCACTTCGCCAAACAGCTTGCTGAAACAAAGCAGGAGGCACCAAGACACAGCAGAAGAAAAGGCGTCTGCCTGCAAGGATGGGCAGAGTTTGCAGTGACAGCAAAAGGGGAGACACAGACAGCGCAACACAGGGCCAACAGCTGGAAACATGTGGGGGGGTTTTAAACTGAAAAGAAGTAAAGCAGGGATGATTCTGGGATGTTATTCTGTCGATTTATCAAGAGTTTTAAAAGAGAGCATCTCCTTGGACCTCAGGCTTTAGGAGTGGATCAGTGGATGGATGGCTCAGGGCACGTCCCTCTGGAGATCACCTCTGGGATCCTGCCTGCCCCAGTTACTAACCTTGCAAAGGAGGAATTCCCAACTTTGGCGGGGGGCGGAGATGGCCATTAAAAACCAGCTTGGATGCAGGACACATCACTCAAAGGTTGTACTTCCAACCCACACAGACAGCAAAGTAGCTGGGAAGGGGACAGGCCTAGGCCTAAGGTGGGCGGCAACCCGCCAGTGATGGTTCCAAGGACCTCTGCCAAGAGACATGTGTGGTACCTGCAGCCCACAGTTGATCTCTGTGGTGTCCAGGAGGTAGTTGATGAGCGAAGCCTCCCCACTCAGCGCGATCTCGTAGGTCGGGCCTCCCTCCACCCCGCACAGTGCCATGACACGCGCGACGATGTTTGTATGGCCAAAGAAGGTGAATGTGACCCGCTGGCTCTCGCCTGGCTGCAGGACACCATACAGCGGCAGGACGTCAAAAACCTGGAGGTAGGGAAGGAGAGAGCAAGATGTGGAGCATCAAACCTGATGCAGAAGAGCAGCCATAGCTTGGAGCAAAGGACAGGCATGGCTGGAGGGGCCTCTTCCTCAAACACAGGCAAAAATCATCCTAATCTTGTCATGCATCCGTTACAATTTCCAGTGGAGGAACTATATGAAAAATCTTCTCCCATACTCACTAATTAATACATTAATTAATACACGATGTTAAAGTAATTTGGGAGGTCTGCTGGCAGCAAGAAATTCTCTCCTCTGCAGAACCTGTCTTTAAAAAACACCTTTAGAAAAACACAAGACTCGAAGGTGAGAGCCCTTGTAGCCTAGGGGAGGACTCCAGCCCAGCTCATCTGACTCCGGATGCTTTCCGCTCTCTCTCTGATTCACTGCTCCCTCTCAAGGTGCTACAGCAAAAGCTACTGCAGAAATTTCCTATTGAGCACTTGGTGCTGCACAGGTTAACGTCTTTGGCCAGCCCTGCGATGTCCCACATGGCCTCCCCAATGACCAGTTGCTTCAGCGGTGCTGTGTGATGAGCTTGGAGGAGCGTGAGGCTGCTCCAGGAGCAGCACCAAGGGCCACCAGTGGGAGTGGGGGCTACACAACTGCTTGCCATGCTGGAGTCGCAGAAGTGAGACAAGATTCTCACCTACCTCCTCTGCTCCCAAGGCGAGGGGCTCTGCCTCCACGAACTGCATCAGTTCCTTGATCTTCACCAGGCTTGGAGGCTCTGCAGCCCCGTCCAGCTCTGCAGTTCCGTCCAGCTCTGCAGCACCAGATGGCAGTGGCTGGAAAACATGCACCATGGGCTGCAGTAAGCAGCTGGCTGATTTAGGTGAGACCACTCTGCTGCAGGGTCTACCACCTCACCAAGGCAGGAGCAGCTGAGATGGGACCTGGGCGCAAATCAAGTAGGGTTATTGTCCATGCCACCAGTTTAGTGTGGGTCCAAGCCCACCCACAGATGAGACACAGGCTCCATCTGCACTTCCTACACACCAGCTTGCAAGCTGAAGCTGGGTGCTCCCAGCACTCAGTCCTGGCAGACCCCTCACCCTTGGGCCAGCCTGGTTTCACTCACTCCTGCCCAAGGGAGACGCTGAGAACCCCATGCCTGGACAGGTTCGGTTTTCTGTGACAAAAATAGGAACACAGCTGCAAGTGAGAGGTATTAAAAACAAGAAAATATGGACTTAGAAAGTGCTCGGCACAGCTGTCCCATTTTCAGGTTGTTGAGGTGGGTGTTGGTCTCGTCTCCCTGGTAATGGGTGATGGGAAGAGGGGAAAAGGCCTCAAGTTGTGCCAGGGCAGGTTTAGGTTGGACATGGGGAAAAATTCCTTCCCTGCAAGGGCTGTCAGGCCCTGGAAGGGGCTGCCCAGGGAAGGGGTCGAGTCCCCATCCCTGGGGGGATTTAAAAGCTGGGCAGAGGAGGTGCTTAGGGCCAGGGTTTAGTGGTGGGATGGCAGGGTTAGGGTAACGGTTGGGCTTGATGAGCGTAAAGGGCTTTTCCAACCTAAACGATTCTGTGATTCTATGATTCATCTCATGCACTCATCAGTGCTGAAGAGCTGAGGGTCTCCAGTGGGGCGTTCTTCTCCGATGGCACCTTCCTGAAGGTGGTAGCCGAGATGTTTTTCTGCCTTGCAGCAGCTGAGGGCTGGTGTTCAACCTCAGAGGTGCCATCTTTCAAAAGTAACCTCGTTTCTGGGCTTCTGACCCCTATTTATAACCAAGGGCTTTGTGATTGCTCTTGACATCTAAGAGCACTTCACTAATGTAAAGAAGTGCTTTGTGCTGTGGCCTTGACTTCAGCAAAACCTGCAAGAATATTTACAGGAAATCCTTATACACCAACATGTCCCCAGTAGATAAGCACTGGGGAAGGAAGAGTTTTCTCACATCTCAACGCTCTTTCTATCAACTTCACATTTTCAAACCTAGCAAAATTTTGCCAAGTGTATGTTCCCAAAGCTGTTAACCCACATCTCTCCTAGCCCTCTGGTCTCCCACCTCCCCAGGGAGGTTATAAGGATATCGCTTTGATACAGTGACATAAGCAGAAGATGAAACTGCAATCCAGATCATAGAGTCATAGAACCGTTTTGGTTGGAAAAGCCCTTTAAGATCACCAAGCCCAACCATCTCCCTAACCCTGCCATCCCACCACTAAACCATGTCCCTAGATGCATCCCTAGATGTATCCTTTGAAGCAATTTTGGATCCTGCTTAGTCCACTTGGTTTATTTGGGCATACGTAGCAACAAAGCAGGAAATAAAGATGAATCCATGCTTCCATCCAAAAACAGTCAGCCATGCTATTCGTTATGCCTACCAAGTATCATTTCTCCTGATTCAGAAACAAGATGTAGTGTTATAACATTAAACCTGCCGGTATTTGGATGCCAGCAGGTGCACCCCCTCTCCTCAAACCCAACACCACCGCTGGCGCTTCCAGAACCTCTCATGCTCCCTTACATCCTTTTTTATTGCCCCAGGAGCAGCCTCTGTCCCACATGATGCAGAACAAGGTGCCAGCTCCCACTAGTACCAAGGCCAAGCTCCAAAGCAGCGAGGTTCACTAGGAAGGTCAGCAGCTCAGAGGCTGTTTTCAAAGCCAGGAGGAAGAGACAGAGACTTTGCAAAGCCTTATTTTATAAATGACAGCTCTGCAGCTGTCACTGCAATATCCGGTCTTGGGGGAAGGCAGAGGCGTGAAAATGGGTGGCTCTAGCCTCTAGCTGGAGTTGAGAAGGCGGTACGTGGAGATCAGTACTTAGCACAGCTCGATACAGGAAGAAAACTGAGAGCCTTCACATCATGATGCAGATAAAAGCCTCATTTGACATAAAAAAACCCAAACCAACCCAAACCAAAAAAATCCCCAATCCAGCGTAGGTCAGGAGAATCTGAGTGGGCTTCTCCAAGCCCAACCGTCCCATTTCTCCCTCCCATGTCCAGTCACTGGCCCTGCTGCCCAGCCCACTCTCAGGGCACACAACCACAGGGCAGCAAAAAGGGAGGTTGGCACGAGCACAGCTTCTCGGTGTCAAGCTAGGGGAGGCAACGCAAGCACTAGGCATACAAGGAAACCTACCTTCACTTCCAAGGAGTCATATGCATCTGCTGGCTCTTGGGCAAGATCCCCCACTGCTCCTGGGGCTTCAGCTGGCTCCTCCACACCTCCATCCCTGGAGCTGCTCTCCACAGACGCCGAGCGCTCCCACCGGGCTTCCTCCTCATTCGGTGGTTGGGGCTTGATGAAAAATTTAGGTGCTGGAGGGCTGAACCTGGAAAATAACACAGTTTTGATCATGGACCTGCAGTGGGAGGGAGGGAAGCCTGCATGAGTGGCTCCTCGGCAGGATGAGGCCCCTGTGGGCACCAGTGGTGCGAGCTTGGTGATCGGTCTGACCCAGCAGCTCTGAAACCAGGCTGGAGCAGGTCAATGCTTGGGGCTGCCCGGGGATGATGCGCCTCGCTGCTGGCGTAGTGGTGGTGCAGGTGACTGGCTGCAAAAAGGAAGAGAACAGAGGTGAACGCTGTGTGCAGAGGCAAAATGCACAGCAGGAGAGGAAAAGACAGACAAACTGTGCAAAAAGGCGAGATTGAGGTGCAAAGAGGCAGATCCAAACAGCGACGAGCCGGTACAGACCCATCATGCCCTCCTGAGAGCACTCGGCACTGTGGACTGTATCTTCCCCACCCAGGGGGCTGAAGCGAGAAGTTTTGCAGCTCCACTAAATATTTATCCCGAATATTTCCCCTGACAACTACCCACAGCTGTATCTCAGCACAAGCAAGTGGCAATGCTGGTGGCTTTCTCTATGCACGGTCAGGCAGGAGCAGGATGGAGCCCGCAGCCTGCTGTGCCCTGACCAGACAGAGCCCAGCACGGCTCAGGGGCACCCAGGGAGCCCAGCACAGGACATCCTCGCACGCACCAAGGCCACCAGCGACACGGAAAGACACGTTGAACTGTTCCAGGCAGACTCACAGCTAAACAGCCCCTTGATCCCCGATGAGCACCAAAGCAGCAGCGATTAGTGCTTTGGGGAAAGAAGTTCTGGCCATTTTTAATGGCTCCACAGCAAATGCTGGTGGCAAGATTCAGCTCCCTGCTGTGCCACAGGTATTCCCCAGTTACAACACAGGGGCTCTAACTGCACCTTGCGCTGAAAGGGCAGCAGCTCTGCTGGAACGACATTGTAGCGGATGCAGCGCTTACCAACGGCGTGATCGCCTCCCCAGCAGCAGCTTCTGAACGCAAACCATTTGAGGACCAGTTTGGCAAATGGTTCGGCAAAGTGGCTCAATGACTTGTTTTATGAACAGAGCTGAGTTTATAGTTCGATCAGCATCTGTCAGTAAAAAGTACACGGTGTAACGTTTTCAAATGTTCCCCGGTGACTCCCATCACGTTCCCCGTTTTAAACTGCAGCAGGTGCCCATAGAAACACTGCTCGTACTTCTCATGCCATGCGGAGGGACACCCTGGAACCATGCCGGCCTGTCACTGCACCTATTTTCAAGTGATACCCATATGCAAACAAGCAACCTGGATGCTTGGTTCCCAGCTGGGAATTCAGCGACTTTAACAATGAGCTCCCAAATGAGTATTTGCCTTTAGCTTTAGAGCTTATTATTGAAGGTCAGCAACCTGATCTGGTTAAAGATGTCCCTGCTCCCTGCGGGGGGGTTGGGCTAGATGGCCTCTAAAGGTCCCTTCCAAACCAAAGCATTCTAGGATTCTATGAAGTTTGGTTCTCCTTTCTGGATGAGAGGCTCTGCTCTTCAGAGATCCCACCTGACTTGTCCTTCCTACAACCACATGGAAGAACAAGGCTTGGCCCAGGTGAGCTCCTCCCTCTGCCTGCTGCTGGGACCCCACAGAGGACCCCAAGCAAGACCTCAGCACCATCCACATGGAAGAAGAAACTAGGAATGGAGGAGACAAAGGCATTTGCTCGCCCCTGCAGAGCATCACCAACCTCCAGTCCCATCTGCGCAACCTTTGCTCCTCTCAGCTGAGGCACCTTAAAACATGTCGGGGTGCACTGATGGGCGACCGAACTGCTCAACACCTCCAGCAGCCACTGCCTTGGGCGTCTGCATGAGGATGAAATAGAATCACAGCCTGCAGCTGAAGACCTCTTCTCCTGGGTGATGAGGGAGATGCCTGAAACATAGGGGTACAAATATCCCAGGCCAGGAACACCTCGAAGCCCTCCAGCTATGCACCAGTGCAGCGTGTGTGCCTAGCTATCATTACGGTGACTCTCCCAAAACTGCTAGCTGCGATCCATCCTAGCGAGGAAACGAAATCGCTGCTCTTAGAGCTGCTTGTGATAAATACTGCTGGTTAATAACAACTCCTGAAGAGAGGTAAACCCCCTGAGACGGAAAATCCATAATCATTTATTAAATTACCTTTAGTTTTATAGAACGGTTTGAGGCAACTTTGCAGGACGGCGGTGCCTAGACGACAACAATATTTTTCACTCTAAAGTAGGAGCCCTCTGGGACCCAGTGCTGGGAGACAACATGATTAGCGAGTCCTGCTGCAGAGAAGCACAAAGCACAGCGAGGGACTTTTTCCAGTGGGGGAAAGTCAAAATGAATAACTAGAAGCATAACGTGAAAAGGAAGGGAGCAAGGAACCCAAGTTGTGAACAGAAAGCTGACCCCCAGGACAAGAAATCTTCCTGGTGGTGGAGGAAAAGGGGGTTGCCTTGGAAAAGGAGAAGGACAGGGAAGATAACAAGATGTTCAGCATCAGCCCAGGCTTCACGCAGCTATTTCCCTGATGCGAATTGGGACTTTCTGGACATCTTCCAGCACCTTCGGGCCAAGGTTGTGACTGCAGGGAGGAAGGCAAAGAGCAGAAAGCAGTTCCTCCACCTGCAGAGAGGACCCATCCCAAACCAGAGGGGCCAAAGCACTATGGAATTGCCTCCACCAGCACCACAGAGCTATGACGAGGACCCTTCCAACGGAAGCAGCTCAGCCAGGAGCTGGAGGGGCTGAAAGCAAGGTGTTAACCCCTCTGGGTCTGTCTCACCCAACCTGGCCACCCCTCAGATGAGACAAATGCATCCGGGAATTAACAGTGGGGATTTAATGGGAGCATGGGCAGATTCACATCAGGGAGAGAGGAGTCCTTCCTACTAGGGTCAGGACACCCTCGGCCACCCACCATCCCCAAACTCCGAGACATTAAAAAAAAATATAAATAAACCTCAGCCTGTATCCTGGTTTCTGAGCCTGCTAGGGACACAACTTCACACTGCTTCCCACACCTGCCTCCCAAAATAGAGGAGCTAGAAATCACACCGCTTCTGCAAACTACATGTGAAGATTCACATGGGATGACGTGACCCAGCTTGGCTCAGGCTGTGCAACAGCCAGCACCATCAGGACAGTCACCCAAAAACTGTAAGGGGAGCGCCTGAGGGCCCTGCAGGCCCTGCCAGTACCAAGGACGTGTGCCAGAAGCCACCACCCCTTCCCATGAAATGCAAGAGTTTGCACAGTGCTGAGTGCTTCCCTAACGCACGGTACCCACATGCAGAGCATCCTTGCTCAGGCCCCCGAGGAGCACCTGCTGGAGCCCCCACTGGGCACAGCCATGGCACCGGGTGAAAACAAACCTCCCGATGAAGCATGATATTAAAATGGCACTTTGGAGCAAGCCACAGACAGTTCGAGGGTGTTTGCAACCGAAAGCAAAATAATATCAATACAGGAGTAAACTGAAAACCTTCCCAGTGCACCATGCAGGAACAGGGAGCTTGAGCTGGGCTACCCGGTCAGTAGCCGAGGAAGGTGATGGTTTGCCCTCATCTAGAGCAACTATTAAACTGCATTTTGTCCAAATGGCCCTGAAGCCTATTTCTTTGCCAGGATAAATTCCTCTGCTCGCCTAAGGTTTGTGCATTTACTGAGCCACCCATTGAAATTCAGACCAGGCAGCGGAGAGATGGAGAAGCAACATCGCTGCAGTGAGATCTGACACCTCCAACTTCTGTCTTGCGGGTGCTGCAGATGATTAAGCTGCATTTGGCATTCATCAGAACGTAGCGAGCAGTCCTGGGGACGTCCCACTGTCATCGAGTAATAATTAAGTTGCAGTTAATAAGCAGTTTTAACAGCCACTTACTTATTTTAGCCAAAAAAATGCAGGTTCTGAGCCATGAGGTAGAATTTTGCTTTCTTGTTTGAAAGCAGAAATTGTGTAGGAAGGGATGCTACCACTGAAAAGACGTGAAGTTTCCCATGTTCCTGGGGCAGCAAACAAAACTCTCCAGCACCTTCCAAGCAGAAGCCATGGGATTTGATTTTGGGGTGTAGCAAAGGGTCTGAGGCCCCTCGAGCTCCTTCTGACATAGCTCTTGCCTCTGGCAGAGTCCTTCCACAGGATGCAGCTGGCCAGGCTTTGCAGGGTGCAGGTACTTAAAGCTCCTGAGCCGCTTGGGTCCAACTTCAGCTGGCTCAGGGCCAGCCACCGCAGGCACTGCAAGTCTTCAGGGAGATCACCCTCAGGCAGCAGCACCCACCTCTCTCGACGAGTTATAGCCCTGGAAGAAGCCTCCACTGACTTTACTGGAGTTATTCTGACTCGCACTGATTTTACAGCCAGCAAAACATTTCCCATTAAGTCCTTTCCTTCCTTTGCACATCAGCCAGGTGATTTATAAGCATCAGGTGAGGTGGTAGGAAGCTCCTGATTCTCAATCAGACTCTGGCCAAAGGTCCCTCTGAACAAATCAGTAGCTCTAATGATAAATACAGTTTGTAGCCTTTGTTCAAAATTAAACAAGCCCTGACAGCTGTAATTTGGAGACGCTGTTTAAAGTAATCAGCGCCAATTACAATCTCACCAGCACCTTCAAAAATTGGCTCTGCAAACGAATGACTGTATTGACTCCTGTAACTGATAGCAGAGGAGGAGAGACGTGCTCCAGCCACAGGGACCTGGGCATTCACCATTTGAAGATGTCTTCATGGGGGCAAGCCTGAGAGCTTGGCAAACCATGAAGGGTATGGCTGTAAGGGTTAAAAACATGAGGAAACAGGGGGGAGGCAGAGAAGTGGTTGAGCACAACCAGCTGAGAGCAGGGGGCTGGTCCTGGGTCCATTAGCCAGGCAAGCAGAAGGCTCCCAGCTATGGGATGGGTTGTCAAGCACTGGAAGGGGCTGCCCAGGGAAGGGGTCGAGTTCCCATCCCTGGGGGGATTTAAAAGCTGGGCAGACAAGGGGCTTAGGGCCAGGGTTTAGTGGTGGGATGGCA